AAGCAAGGTCCTTAGCCGATGTAGGATACCGGTTGATGGATTGCCACTTGAAGAAGAGTTGGAGGCTAAGGTAGCCACAGTGTTAGGTAGGCTGGAGAAACAGCCGAGTTAAACTAGATACTCGGTCCCAGAGCACGTCAGTTGCAGTGAGGGAAGGCAGTGTGTTGAGAGGGTCGGATGTCGGACCACTCGACAATTATCGAGGTGTGGAAGATTAGTTGCTCAGCTATTTTCAAAGCATGAGTTTTCCTGATCCTGGAGTCTTCAAGGGCCGTGATAATGAGGAGATTCATTCGGAAGTTCAAAAGAAAGTATGGTACCATGGCCCAGGATGAACAGTTGCTGATAGAGGTCCTGGGTTATGAACACTTGGAAGGAAAGGCAAAGTCCTTATTTCTGAGCACACCCATTGGGGTAAGACAGCAAGGCTTTGACAGAGTAGTGAGGGAGATGGCTTCACTACTGGCCTGTGACTCCACAGCAGCTAGGTTAAATGCACTGACAGCCTTAAGGAACATGCGCTTAAGGCCAGGCCAGGAAGTTGCAGACTTCTGTGTCGCCCTCGAGAACCTAGCAAGGAAGGCCAACTCAATGTTCCATTGAGGAAAGATCGATGGAGTACGCACAGATTCTGCTAGAGAATCTGACGTCATGGCCGGAATACGTGCAGTTGGTGGGAATCTCACACCAAGTGGACCCAGCCGAGGCGTACAATAAGATTAAAAAAATCGCAATTGAGGTCGAACAGTCGCGAAGATTTTGCAAATTCGAGAGGATGATTGAACAGCAAGCTCCGTCCAGTAAAGCAAGTGGAAATGAAAGGTATGTGCCAGCTATAACGCAAAATCGAAGCAGCTCAGCGGAGAGAGGCGAAAGGGAAGATGATATAAGAAGGCATGAGCCAACGAGTAGCTCGAGTAGTGCCTATGATGAGTATCAGGAAGAGAAAAGATGCTTCAATTGTGGTCACTTTGGAATGATAAGAGATTGCAAGTACAGGAAGGTGGAGAGTGAAACCGCTATCAAGACTTTGAATGGAGTGACATCAATGGTAAGTAGGAGCCGAAACATGGTCACAAAGAGCTTCCAATCCGACGCATATGTTGTTGGCAGGACAACATTGACTCAAGAGAGAATGTTGGGAAGAAAGGTTTTGACAATTCCAGACACGGGCTCAATGATAAGTATACTACCCGTGAAAATGCTTATAGATGCGAGGAACAATGGGTACAATGTCGAGTCACTTGAGACTTTCGGCATTGTAGAAGGAAGCATATACGACATCCAATCATGTGATGAGCTTTTTCGGAGGTGTAAAAGTAGAAGTAGAACTAGAAGGAGAATGGAAGAAGGAAGTAGCTTTTCACGTTTCGGACGATAGAAATGAGGAAGTACTCATTGGCGCAAATGCATTGAAGAGTCTAGGAGTGGAATTAGTGATACGCAAGAAGCTGAAGTCAAAGTAAAGCAAAGGATGGGATGGTGCTTCCGCACAAGAAAGCGAAGAATCAACAAGGTACCATAAATGTGAACAGATCTATCTCAGAGAAGGACAGTCTGTAACTGTCAACAAGAAAACTTTCATTGAGAGAAAAAGAGATGTCAAAGCAGGCAAAGGAATCTGGTCAGAGGAAGCTTGTGAGCGCAAATGGAAGAAGTCGCTATGTAGGAAGGGCAGCAAGACTCAAACCCCTTCCAGAAGTGTTCGGAAAATGTGCGGAGAGGCACAGAAAGGAGTCAGAGTTGAAAAGACACGCAAAGGGGAAGGACAAAGTTTTGAGAAGGAACGTCCTGTTGCGTTTATTGCACCGAGATGTGCAACATCATTTGAGGAAGTTGAGCTGAAAGAGTTTGGAGTACTGACCAAGGTGGCAGTATCATTCAGTCAACTCAAAGAAGCGTTGAAATACTTGAAGAACTGTCGTATGTGGATCATAGTATGGCCCATGAACCCAAGGAGGGAGGATGAGGCTATCATGAGACATTGCGGATATGCAAGAAGTACCTCGAAGAAGGAGGAAAGATTGTGTCCGTGTGGTTGCCACCATTGTTCAAGAAGATTGGTATGTGGAAAACGAATTCAAAAGTGTGGACGGTGATTGAATGTACTGAAAAAAAATGGGCAAACCCAAATCAGTTGTACACGTTGGCTCCCTCAAGGACAGAAAATAAGGAAGTGACCATGGGAGCAGATGGACCCCAAAATTCTTTTCAGGTATACGACACGCATTTCAGGGACGGATATGCGCGATACCTCTACAACGCCATCCGCAGGAGAGTTCCCGGCGCAAAGCTCAGCAAGTTGCAGCAGCCGCCGAGGACGCCGGCTCCGCGGAGGGGAATGATGTCAGAGGGCGCGGATCACCGACCTACCAATCTTCAGTGGCGGGAAGAAAAGCCCGCGCTGACCCCTTCGGCAGGGTATAAATACCGAGAGTCAGGGGGAGGCCTCACAGTCCGCGCTGAGGAAGCGCTAGCGGGAGCTAACTCCGTCGAAGAGAGGCGGATCTCCCCATTAGATAGAGAGTTCATCCAGTCAGCCTGCCGAAGTGGTCAAAGAGGGTAAAGCCCGCAGTTTCGTTGTTGAGCCTTGTTCAAGTTACGCGTTCTTGTTTCTTGTTGTTCGTTGCCGTTTTCTGAGATAAATTATTAGTCGTTTCCGTGTAGTCTATCGATCCGGTTGAAACCGTTATACCACTAGGCACCCCCGGTTACGGTACAGAAAATTTCCAGCTCCTTACAAGCTTTAGTTTTCAAGAAGTATAAAATACCAGTACATCACCTCTGCTTCGCAGAAGCTCGCACTGGGCCCACTTTCTGTTTGCCTTACTTATTCCGGCATAATAATGACATTGAAACCTCCATGCAGGCTATCACGAATGATAAGTAAACAACTACTCATTCTGAGAGCTTTTTTGTGTGTTAATCGGTATTTTCGCGTGGATGAAACTTTTCCGAGAAGAATAAATGCAAATTTGAGCCGGTTTTTGGACTTTTTATGGTTTAGAAATCGTTATAACGACGACGATTACTGTTGGCTACATCTGTGTGCAAATCTCTTCAAATAATTAGGTAAAATATTGGTAAATTGAACATTTACGCAACTAATTTTTTTCACCGCCATTTCCGTAAAGTAATCAACTTCAGTTCAATTTTTTGGGCTAAAGTCCATGGCTTGCACATTAGCTTGTCAATCATTTCCATGAATTTGCAAAAAAAGTGGTGGTACAGGCTCAATTTTGCTGGCCAGAAGCCAAGTGGGTCCGTTTGAAGCGCAATTTTTAAGGGATCTACTCAACGAATCCGCTCGTGCTTTCGCATATTAAACTTTCATGCCGCTAGCATGCGCCGTGCAAAATTTGGGCTCAAGAGATTGGCTGGAACTCGCTCTGCGAATTTCCTAGCGGACAGACAGACACACACACAAAAACACGTAAACAACCCTTAGCCTGTTATTATAAGTAATGATAGTTTCTCTTGGGTAACTTATGTCAAAATCGAGATTTCTAGAAACAAAGCTTATGAAGAGCTGAAAATTTATGCTTTTTTACCACTGGTAGTATACAATTATTCATGTGAAAACAGCACAGCATCACTTTGGTAAAAGCATGTATTTACTTTGTTTTCTTCATTTCTAACTGAAGAAAAATTACGGCAACGGCGTTTATAAATGCCTCATGTAATGGGTAATGTATATGTGAGTACGTTAGAATTTTCGTAGTTTTTTTTTTTTGAACTTATACTTCTCCTCGATTTTTCGGGCGGTTTAATCCTCATGGTTTTTGGCTTGAACATCGAAGTGGATCATACTGGTGCAAAAACAAGATCGTCATCTTGTACAGCTCGCTTTGCGCTATCAAACGGTACTTTGCTACCTGTTTAGAATTTACGATTCTCTATTTAAAAATGAGAAGTGTTTGCGATCAAAAAAATTTTTAAGGAAAATACTTTACTTTTTATGGTTCTTGGAAACTAACACTTTGGAAAACTAGAAATATATTGTACTCCCAAAGGTCTTTAGTATACATACAGATATTATTTGAGAACAGCCCATAATCACTTTGTTAATTATAAACATTCGTTTTTTTGTGTTATTAGACAAAGAAAAAACAAAGCAACGGTATATATGAATGCTTATGTGAAATGAATATGCCTGATTGAATGAGTGATAGATTAGCAAAATTTTCTCACGGTTAGGTTCCCTTTCATTTTCTGAGCAATTGGATTTTTTTATTTTCCGGCATTGAACTTCGAGTGGGTCAGATTTGGTGCAAATGTTCAGATATAGTCTCGTGAAGCGTTGCTTTGTCAAACGGCATCGAGAAACCTGATTAATGAAATGCAATTCTCTATTTCATCGAAAGTGGCGGCGATGGGCGGGGCTCACTCTGCGCGGCCGCCTGGCATGGCTTTGCACCTCTTCCGCTCTCTATGATTCAAGCTCTGCCTTTCCCACACTCGTATCGGAAAGATGATCAGAGAGCACGCCCACGAAAGAGGAGCGGAGCCCCAAACAGTCCCAAACAGCCACACCCATCAGCCGCCACTCTCAGTGAATGAAGGGTATCTATGACTTATTAGGTTGCGAACAAGCTGCTAGTAAGCCATGTAATTCTAAGAGCTTTGATGAGCATCACTTGCAATATAATCAGCATTCCAAGGTGTTCTAAGAATAACAACAATTTAAGATTAAAGGCCGGGCCGCGCGAACCGAGGCTCGAAAGCGGCTTTATAGATACAAAAAGCACGAGGAGCAGGGTTTGCAACGGAGAAGACATGCGCGCGCCGCGTTCAAGGCTGTTTATTCAAATATTGTTTGTCCGTCGTCAGGTGCTGGAGTTTTTAGCAGTTGCAGCTCATGCAAATCAGCTTACATTGGTGCTTGTGGCCTAAGTGGCTTGGAAAAAGTGCTTAATTAAAAGACAAGCCTTACATCTCGAAACTTTATCAATGAAATTTTCTGAAGCTAAAATCCAAATCTGAAACTATAGCAATTTTAGGCCGAAATAAATTTGACATTGGAAAATATGCAAAGATTTGAGGGTCGGATGTGTTTGCAAACTCCACTCAACTATGTGTAAGTTTCTAATCAAACTCTCTACATTGAGTAGCTTTTCATGTTTCAGAAACGATGGTCCGAATAAAAATGACATAGAAGCTCTCTTAAAACCATATGTGAGTTGACATTCAGAAAACATTATGGATAATTTATCGCACGCATGGACTGAACGTCTTTGCCGATTAAAAAGTTCGTGTTCAAAAAAGCCGCAACGGTTAGAGAAATGAAAATATATCTGATCTGGCGGAAAAGGCTCGTTCACCGTAGCTTTTCCATTTGAGCATATGCTTTCGATATTCTGGTTAAATGCTCGTTAACATAGCTATCTTCTGAAAAAAAGTTAAAAGCGTTTCAAAATACCATTTTCAAACTACTTATTTTGCTTGTTACATAAAAACATAGCTTTAAGATCGTAGATGAATGTTTTAATGTACATCTCACATGGAAAGGCCATGCTGGTCTCGGATAGTTCAATGAAAGAGGCCAACGCCTCCGCATTGGCGGTCTGTCTTTGCGTACTTTGAATCGCCTAAACGGTTGTTCTCCAAACCGTTTTTTCTGTGGTTGTACTTATGGTACACAAAGTAAAAATGATGCATTTTGCCTGTTTGTACTCGTTGAAAGTAGCAGCGGTGCGGTCCGACATAGATTGGCCGGAAAGAGCGGTCCACTTTCTGCATAAATGGGTGTTTTTCAGCCCTCCGATAAAAGTTTTCGCAAAGTTTCAAAGTTTTGTGAAGTTTAAGAAACGCGAAATTGCATTTGCGCAGTTGGTAGTTGCTCATGACTTCCGTACGGTATAGGTGCAGTTACCGTATGACAACTCAGTGGGCTGCGTTGCCGCATCCTCAGGTTTATTGCTCAAGCCTCGTAGCACAAGGCCACGGCACCATAGCAAATAACACTGTTTCGAATTGTGTCTGGTTACACCCAATCAAAGCCTGTCAGCTAAAGCACTTTGCCAGGCTTTGCGCCCACCTCTACAAAGGTTTTATTAAGCTCTTACATAGTTCTCGTTACACCTTAACTACTCTTCTCATTTTTGATAGGGGTCCAGTGCACCATTTGATAGAGCAAAGCATCCATCATAAGAATGGCGTTCTTTTGCCTTAGTTTCGATTCACCTAACGTTTGGAACCAATCTCTAAAAAATTATGAACCAAAAATTGAGAAATACTACCCATTGATATCATCGTCTTCAAAAATCTCAAAAATACATCGAACACACATATAAAATTGCCGTGATTTTTCTCGTCTTGGAAAAACCTCGCACCAATTTTGACCCACCGTAAGTTTGCATTCAGAACTGAGTTGCACTGAAGGCTCGAAAAATTGTGAAAAATCTACTTTGCTCAAAAAAATTCCGGGGATCTCAAGCAATTGCTCAAGCAAATTGCACACCACATCAGACACCTGTATGTCCTGCTGCTGTATTTTTTCGTCACCTAGAAATCGAAGAAACGTTCTCATGCTTGTACAAAAACGAAGCTGTGCTGTTTCCACCCATGTAATTTTATAGTACAAACCTTTAGAAGTATAACCGTAAGTTTTCAACTCTCTACAAGCCGTAGTTTCCAAAAATTGCCTACTTGAAATCTAATCACTCGGGTGTTCCATGCTAAAAACAATATTTTTTCGAAAACTATGGCTTGCAAAAAGCTAAAAATGCACGGATATACCTCTAAGTGCTTGTACTATACAATTGCATGGATGGAAACAGCACAGCTTCGTTTTCACATGAGCAAGACAATTTTCCTTTTGTCGATTTCCTAATGAGGAAAAATTACGGTATTGGTACATATGAGTGCCTGATATGGTGTGCAATTTGCTAGAGCAATTTGGAGATTCACAGGATTTGTACGAGATATGAAATTTTTCATAATTTTTTCGAGCTTTCAGTACGACACAGTTCTGGATGCAAACTTACAATAGGTCGAAGCTGATGCGAGCTTTTACATAACATTATGTAGAGCTTGCTTTGTCGAATGGTATCTCTATTGTATGTACATGCATTAGGTTTTGAGACAGAGCAGATTCAGTCTGAAAATGTCGGAGAACTTTCCAGCCAACTTAATAAGATCAATATATTCCAAAAAATTAGGCTTGTAAAGGACCGAAAATTTGCGATTTTACTCTTGAATGCTTGTAGTATACACATCTATGTGAAAACAAAGACGGCTTTAGCGAAAGCATGAAAAATTGATCGTATCAAGGGAATGAGAAATCTGTAGGATTTTTAAAGAAAACATAATTTTTCTCAGTTTTTGTGCATTCAGAATTTCTCAAAGTTTTACTTTAAACTGAAGGGGATATAAGTTTAATGCAAACTTTACAAATTGTAAAGCTTGCTTTGTTTTGTAATGTGGTAGAAAATCTGCAAGGAGAGTTATATAACAACCTAAGCAAACTCAATTTTCAAATTTTGATTTTAGAAGAACAAGCGTTCTTACACAACCGAGAAGGAGCTGCTTAAAGACATGGATTCGGGAAAACAGTAGGCTGAGAGTATTTGAAAAATGTCGGCTAAGTACGCTATCTAGAAATCTCGGCATAACTTTCATGTCATTTGACGGCAAGAAGCTTTCCTTTGTGATTCACACAAACGAAGAAAAGAAGAAGGGCCCAGTAGAGCTTATGGAGTGAGTGTCTCTTAGCTGTTTTCTTCTTCAATCATTTTGAAACAACAATAACAGGAGCATGGTATGGAGTGGGCAGCTTGTGAGGTAAGTCTCTATCATTCACATCAAGCGCAATCGGTAAAACAGGCTTATGTCAGTTCTTACATCTTCTTTCAGAAGCCTAAATTATGAACTAACTAATAAAGTAGCACTGGTTCAAATGTGTCTTTCAATCGCCTCAAATAATAAAGTAAGGCAATCACTCAGACAGGAGCGGACCGGTCGAGGCCCTAAAATTACACGGGGTAACTACACCCACCTAGGAGTTCGCAGCTCCCGCGATCCACCCGGAGAATGTTTGCTACAGTGAATTAAGGACCTCAGGGCCGCATGAGTTAACGGTCGCCGCTCGCTTACTGCATGTTTTAGACTTATTGCACCAAGAACAGCGGTTAGCCCGCATTACAGCGGCTGACCGAGGGCCTTCTTTTGTTGCAACGCTATCGCAGGTTGACTAGAGTGGCTTATTCGCGCCCAGTGTAGTGAGTTAACGACCACGGCTCGTCCGCTCGCATTGTCTAAGTACACAACACAAGTTACTCAAAATAATTCTCAAAATAAACCATTGCAGGGTTTTGATAGCGGTTTCGATTACATTCCTGCTAAAATGAACATTAGAGAATGTTCTAGAATTGCAATAATGTTTGAAGTCATTCAAATATGTGAGCTATGTTATTTAAAATTATAGTCAATGCATTTATTAGCACTCTAAATATGATGGTTGCAGTTCAGAAACAACAAAATTAAAAAGAATCATAAACAATTAGTTTGAGATCGATGAAAGTGCCTGAGAAATAGCACCGCAGTAGCAAAGTTGTACAAGTCGCTTGCAAATATTAGGTTGTTCTAAAAAACTCTTTGATGAATGAAGCATTGTTGTTTTCTCAGCAGTTTTGGCGTATTATTTGATAGAGCGAAGCAAGCTCTACAAAGTGACTGTCAAAGTCCCGCCTAAGTCAAAATGCAGGTAAAGTTCAAAGCCGGAATCAAAAAAATTTTTTCTCAAAAATCTGATTTTTGCGAAGAAAACGGATTCTACGGACCTGGTTATCATAAGTGGACACATTGTAGTACACAAAAATTTCTTTGTTGGAATTTTTTTGCTTAAAAAGCAAGAAAATAAAGTTACTCTAAAATGGCAAACTCCACCCCGAGCCCGTCTCAAATATGTCTTTGTATACTGCATATCTTAGTAAATGTTACTTTGAAATTTTACCTATGCACCCATGTCTTCAAGAAATACCATATTATACATGGAAAGAACTCGAAAAATGTGACATTCTGCGTTTTTGGGGTACTTTAATTTTTCGATGTTGAGCCCCAAGAACCGAGAATTCTCACATTCTAAAGTTATAACTGTTTAAATGCTTGTATGAAGCAAATCTTATATATTCCGTTTAGATGGATTACTCGACGTGCTAATAACTTGTTTTGCTGCTGGTGGCACGGACAGAAAATTGGCCAAATTACACGACTTTTAAATTTGAGAGACAATTCACGAAAAGGCCACTTTGTAATATCATAATCTGACGAACAATGCAGATAAAGATCTGTGCTAAGCGCAATCAGATAGAATGTTCACAAAGTCTTGAACTCACAAAAATATGCAGGCAATTTTCGCAATAGATAGGTGAAAAGTGCAGGTGAAGTTGCTATCCTGATGGGTTCGGCTAATTCTATCTCACTTTAGCTTTACTGTAAGACTCTGTAGTGCAAAATAACTAGGGTTTTCGTAAATAGCGGGACTAAAAATTGCTATGAGCGAAGTTTCCGGTCAGTCCGAGGACCTAAATATTTTGATCAAATCCTGCGCCGAGGCCAAGAGTGAGGAGCGAGAAAAAACCAAGTGCTACTAGTTCCTTAGAAAATTGGACCATAAATGTTATCCGACCCGTTGATTACAGAAAACACAGCTGACAAGATAGCTTCTTTCAGTAGGATCATGGTGGATAGACTTTACAGAAATGTTTATTTCTTCGAAATTTGCTAGCCATTTTCGCTATCACTACGACTGGCACGTAAGTTTTGCAACTTCTTCCGTAAACTTTTTTCCTATTTTATGTAGCAATCTCATTTTGTGGCATCATGTAGATCGTGATGTAAGCTGCAAGTCTGCGCAAACCGTTTGATTTTTGGTAACGTAGTACAAAAAATCTAAGCATTTTTGAAAACTGCTGAAAATTGAGGTTTCACGATTTTTTGACAAACATGAAGCCCTACGAAACCTGATTCGAACATATGAAAAAAGCAATTATAGGCAGCATGTAGCTGGAATGGCACATTGGGATCAGTGATTAAGAAATGAAATTCAAAAACAAATTAAGGTGGGACGTCTTTGAGAAGTTGAACAGGTCAAATGCGTCAAGTTTTCAAGGGAATTTGTCAATAAGTAAGCTGCGAAAAGTCAGAATTCGCTA